GAAACAATGTATGTTCTCCCTCATATGTGGATCCTGGCCCCAAATCCTTATAAGTGAATATGTATTCAGACATAACTACAGGAACTAGGATAATGAAGAGGAACCAGGGAAGTAAAGGAAAATAAAGAGTCTGAAAGAGAAGAACAATAGGAAACAGGCCTTAATAATAGAGATATGGATAAAAATTGGGTTAGTTTAAGGGAGGGGGGAGGGAAGGGTATACAAGGAACCTAGGGGATAAAGGGAAGGAAGGAGCTCAAGAGAGGTAGGACCATAGGAGAAGGGTATTATTAAGGGAGAAAGGGGGGAATTGGAGGCACCTTAAGTGGGAAAACTATGGTGGAGGCATGAGACAATGCGAGAGAGAAATAATGCCTAGCTAGTTTTGAAAACCAGAGGGAACCATATTACTCGTACAACCTACTGACAGATTATACATTGCAGATCAAGAAATATGTATAGGTAAGGTTTATCTGAGAACAATTGGTCTTTGCCCAAGATTTATCTACATGACACACAGTTCCACAGACTGGTGGAACTGACCTTGGATGTTTAACAGACATACTTTGAGGCCTATACTAATTTGGTCAGACGGACAAAAAGGACAGTTTTTGCTCCTTGCCCTTCTAACTCAACTAGCTCCAGAGGACGATGAGCATCTCTCAAAATGTCCTGTAACTGTGGTGCACCACCTGTCCTCTTGATCCAGGAGGCCATGAGACCCCACCAAATGGACTTGAACCAGTGTCCATTCTACAAAGAGGAGGGTCAACACAGAGGAAACATTTCTTCCATGCTTCCAAGTGAAGCCAGCCACAGTCAAGCAGGACCTTTGACTTACCTTCACATAGATGGACCTGGTTAAAAAAAAATAAAAAAAAAGGACCCAGGGGTTCCTCCCAAGCCCATGTGACCCCCTGAGGAACAGATCCTCATACAATTAAGAGTAAAAGTAAATTGGTTTATCTGGGCCGACTGTATGGTCTTAAACACCCAAAAGGAAAGTACAACCAAAAGTTAAAGGGATCAATATAATACTTTAATAAGAGTCCATGTATATAGCTAAAAACTACATAACAAGAAACAATGCCAGACAGGAGATGCCTTCCTTAGATCTTTTTGGCAAGAGTGGCCCAAGAGACTCCCAGACAGTACCCCAGCATAGAACTGGGAAAATGAACAGCAGACCCCAATCTTATCTAAAGGAATATTGACAATTGATTGCTGCTAGATGAGGAACAGCTGATCTTCCTAATACAAGGATCTTTAGATAGGCTGACTAGATTCGGTGGATTGACAAGCACTGCCCAGCGTAGAACTGGGAAAATGAACAATAGACCCTAATCTTGTCTAAAGGAGTATTGACACCTGATTGCTCCTAGAAGAGGAACAGCTGATCCTCCTAAAACAAAGACCTCTAGATAGGCTGACTAGATTCACCAGATGGACAAGTAGTGTGGAATGGCTGGGGGTGCCAACCACACAGCACACAGTAGCAGGGATATCAGAGTATAAAAAAATGAATTATATTTGAGGAGGGAGTATGGAAATTTACGTCATGCTAATTAGTAGAGGTGATAAACATTACTATTGAAATCTACCTGATGGCTTTATAGACATACACAGGTGCCAAGGAACCAAGTGCAACCAGTTATGACTAGTAATAATCAGATGCACACAGATTAGAGATGCAAGCACCACCATCTCAGTAGCAAAAACAATGAGTCTTTCTGCACGGAACAATATATTCTAAAGTGAAATGGAGATCTTTTTTAAAGGTTAAAAAACTCAATTTTATGTCTTACAGGGCTTATAGTGAGTTCAATATTGTATAACTGTATTAACTATGAACCTAGAAACTTGCACCCACTTGTGAAAGAGATGTACACTTGCTCTGGAGTGTGTTACTGAATATGGAGTGTGTTACTGAATATCTGTAGTGAAATGCTTCTAATCATGTAGTTATTAAAATTTTTTAAAAAATGGTTGAAAAAATAATAATAATTAGTAGACGTGAAAAACATTACCATTGAAATCTGCCTGATGACTTTGTATCCATGCTCAGATGCCAAGGAGCTCAGAAAGTAACTGACTGTCACTAGTAGTAATCAGATATATATAGATTAGAAACGCATGTATAAACATCTTAATGTCAATTGCATTGAAAATGAATTTTTTTTGTATGAAACTCTATTTTAATAATGAAATGGAGATCTTTTTTAAAGGTTAAAACCTCATTTAATTTTATGACTTATAGGGTTTATACTGAGTACAGTATTGTATAACTATTAATTCAATGGTAAACCTAAAAATTTACATCCAATTTTGAAAAAGATGCATCTTAGCTCAGAAAGTTGTTATTGAATATGTCAATGTTGTTGTAATGAAATGCTTCTTCTAAGTATGTGGTTATTAAATAAATAATTAACTGGGGAAACATTCATATTTGTTTAAGAATATCACAACTTAAAATGCAAGAACAAAAAGACTTGGGCTTCTTGTCTTCTTCCATGCAGCGAGACCTGCAGGATTTGAGTGCAGTGGAGGAGAGGTCTTGCCAGGCTCCTGTGCTGGCTTGGCCCTCCCTTCTCTCAGAGCTATGGCTTTTTTAAAGTAGTTGACATAACTTTTCATCTTGTCCTGGGATCAGTATGCTGTTTTGTTTTCTCAGACTCCTTAATTTTTTATGCCTATGCTGAAACATGATGGTAATTCTGTTTCTTGTTATTTAAGTTCCTTTTATAAAGTTTTAGACGTTAAAATTCTTTTGATTTTAAATATTTATTTAAAAATACATTTTATCTGATTGTAAGTTTTGTGACTTGTGACTAGGTTGAAGTCTCTTTTAATAGGCTGTTTTGAAGCAGGTTGGCAGCCTTACCGAATTCACTCTTAATATAATTCTCCTTCTAGAAATACATCTTAGGAATACAATCAGAAATATTGAGAATTTAAGAAGAAAGTCTTTGTAATGGTGTTGGGTTTTTATTTCATTAAAAAATTGGAAATGCGAGCCAGGCGTGGTAGTGCACGCCT